GAATGTACAACTTCATCGATCCCCTGGTACTTTCACAAAATAAATAATTGTATTATAATTATGATCCAATACAATACCATATTTGCTCTAAAATTACATTTGTGGATACTAAATCATGAAAATATTACTTATTTCGACCATTGAAGATCCCTGTAATTTACCTAAGCGCATGTGCTGCTAATACTAATAGAGTAATTATGGTAAGTGTAATATTGTTTCTTATATTTTTTTTCAAAATCAAGAAAATGATATTAAAAATATAAAAACAGTTTAGTTTGAAAAATGATATAATGATATTCAGATGGTTATGATTTATGCATAGACCTTAGAAAACAGGGACATGCAACTTCTGTCTGAGACAAAAGAAAATCCAAGTTTCCTATGTGCATGCAATGTGGGTTATAACCTCCCTAGAAGATTTATACATCTGAAACAGTTTTTACTAGTATTCCAATTGGTCAGTGTATAACGAGTGCACTATGCTATATCTGTTCTAAATATGATGAAAAATCCACTTGTTATAATGACACACATTTTCACAGGTCATTGTTTACTTTTAGGCAGTTTTGTTTCCTTGCAGAGAAAACTTACCATTTTTATTTCCCTTTCCTGATTTCATAGTTGAATAAAAACTTAATTTTTAGTTTCACTCGCATCAATAGAATGGACTTGGCTATTTTGATCAAATTTAATTTTTCTGATTATATTCCAACCACAAAATTGTCTCATGGTTACTAAATGAGATTTCCCAATGTACAGTACACTATTGCTGGTATTGTCTGAAGAGAAAGAAAAAACAATATACATTATCTTTGATAATTTGAAAAAAAAAACTTTTTGCAGTCAGTTAAATTATATTAATAATTTGAAAACATTGCCATGAATGGAAACAAATTTACGTTGATGTTTTTTTGCAGATTTCAGGAGTTGGAAATAACCTTTGTTTATACTTTTCTTTTATTAACAAACATAGGAGCTAATCCTCATTAACACCTACTTGAGCTTGTTGTTTGACAATTATGAATAATAACGAAACAGTACTTACACAGTGAGCCACAACTGAACAAAAACTTGCGAATTAATTTTTTTCCAAAAAATAGGTATGATAGTACATAAAGCAAATGCCACAGTGTTTTTTAATTTTTATAATTTTTGAAGAAAAAAACGAAAGCCCCAAAAGACTATCCTGCTACATAAACAACAACAAAAGTATCTAATATTGTATTGAAGTCATTGTAAAATGGTAAAATAATTACAAATTCATACCTTGATTTGCCAGTTGCAGTACTGCAATCGTCCTATGATTCAACACCATCTAAATACTCTGCAGGTTGTGTAGTCCACTAGCAGTC